TTTTTTTTTTAAAGAATTATCTTATTTAGCTTTTAACTTTTAAAATTTATTTTACTTTGACCAGAGAGGGACAGAGTGAGAGAGAGAAAGTGAGAAAGGAAGGTCCTGGACTCAAACTGAAGTTGGCCATGTGTGAGTTCACTGCCTCCAACTACCACACCACCTGCCGGCCCACCGGTGTGATTTTCAAGCCACCAGGTCCTGGACTCCAACTGTGGTCAGCCATGTGGGAATCTAGAACTTTAACCACCATGCCACCTGCTGGCCTCACCATTTTTTTTTTTTTTTGCTATAGGGCATGTGTGTATGCCAGAGGAAGATAGAGATAGACAGGAAGAGAGAGAGAGAAAGAAAGAAAGTGGAAAAGCACCCCCTAACGTGGATGGCAGGCTGCAATCCCTCTACTCCATGTTCTTCTCAGGATTTTGAGCGTGCACATGCACACACCCAACGTGTTTCTCAAGCCGCCAGGTCTAAGACTCAAACCTTGTAGTCTGTCCTGAGGGATCCAGATCTTTCGACCTCCATGCCACCAGCTGACTTGACCCCATTGCATTTTGGTTTAACTTTTTATTTTGAAATAATTTTAGACATTCATAAAATTGTGGACATCATTCAAAGAGTTCTTCTATATCCGTTTACCCAGTTTCAATAATGCTAACACCCCTGAGAGCCACAATACTAAGAAGTGAAGCTCGATACCGTACTCTGAACTCAGCCACGGGTTCGTTGAGATTTCACTTGTTTCCCACGGACATCTTCCTGCTGTCTGCGGTCCAATCCGGGATCCCACCTGCATTTCGTTGTCACATCTCCTTAGTCTCCTCCAGTCTGAAACAGTTCCTCGGTCTTCCCTCGTCTGTCAGGGCCTGGCTATTTTCCGAATACTGGTCAGGTCCTTTGTATGTTTCTCAACCTGGACTTGGCTGGTGTTTCCTCACGTTAGATGGAGGTTATGTGTTTTTGGCAATAATCCCACAGAAACAATAGGCCCTTGTCAGCACATCCTATCAGGAGATGCGTGGGCTGTTACGGCATTGCCATGATAGAACCTTGGTCACTTGATGGTGTCTGCCAAGTCTCTCCTCTCCAAGGGTAAAGTCCCAGATTTACCCTTGATAGTCGTAAGTACCCTGTGCGGCTAGCTTTATGGTGCAGCAGAAACACACTGCTCGGGAGACTTCCGGTCCCTCCTGGTGACCACAGTTTGAATCCCCGGCCTGGTTGGCCTGCTGCACCCCAGGTGGGTGCACAAGTGCCCAAGATCTGTTAGGCTGGAGGACTGGAGGAAGGGGATTTAGCAGTGACCAGACGCTGTGGAGGGCGTGCCTCTGCGTGTGCGTGTGTGTGTCACTCTCCTGTGTGTGTCCATGTGTGCTCTATCAGGAGTAAAGAAAAAAGATGTGTTGGGGACCAGCAGTTAGCGTAATAGCTATGTCGCTGGACTCCCATGTAATCGACCACAGTTCAAATCCTGGACCTGGTGGCTTAAACTCACACTGGGCGCGTGTGCGTGTGTGCCCAAGATCGCGAGAGGAGAATGGAGAAGAGATTGCGGCATCGCCATCCCCCATGGAGGATGTCTCTGTGTCTCTCTCTGTCTTTCTGGTGAGCACATGTGCCCTATAGCAAAAACCTCTCAAAAAAAAAAAAAAAAAGAAAGAAAGAAAGAAAAGAAAAACGAAGAAAGATGTGATTTATAGCTTCTGTTGGGGAAATGTGAGGCCCCCTTGGGAACTACATGAGCGTTCATAGCAGTGACTCTGGGATGGTGAGACCCTGGGTTCCCATCCCAGCCCCACAGCCAGAGCTGTAAAATGTGTCTTCCTTTACAGCTTCAGTGAGGATAGAATGAAGTGAGCCAGGTCAGGAGTGCAGCTCAGGAGTGCAGTGCAGGGCCAGGTGCACGGTGGACACTCTAACTCTTAGACGGCACCGTTGCTGGGGGAGGGTGCCCTTTCAAGGCAGCCTTTGTGCTAGGATATCTGGCGTACTTCCTGTCTTTCTCAATTTAATTACCCACCTCTACCCTACGTTCACATCTGGCTTAATAAAGACTTAACCAGGACTGGCAGGTGGCGTGGTGGTTAAGGGTGCTGGACTTCCACATGGCTATTTTCAGTTTGAGTCCCAGACCTGTTGGTTTGCTTTCTCACTTTCCCTCTCTCTCTCACTCTGTTCCTCTCTGATCAAATTTAAATAAATAAATAAATAAAGTTATATAAAATAGTTCTTTAAAAAAACAAAAAAAGAAAAAGAAAGACTTAACCTATGGGGTCGGTAGGTGGTGTAGTGGTTAAGAAGCTGGACTTCCACATGGCTGACTATAGTTGGAGTCCCAGACCCGGAGGCTTGAAAATCATACCATGGGACCAAGCAGGTGGTAATGGTTACATCGCTGGACTCCCACATGACCAACCACAGTTCAAGTCCAGGACCCAGAGGCTTGAAACTCACACCAAGCACATGTGTATGTGTGCCCAAGATCCCAAGAGGAGAATGGAGAAGGGACTACGGTGTGGCCATCCCCCAGGGGGTTACTTCTCACTTTCTGTCTCTGTCTCTCTGGCGAGTGCATGTGCCCTATAGTGAAAAATCTCTCTAAAAAAAAAAAAAGAAAGAAAAGAAAATCATGCCAGGTGCACGTGCATGCGTGCCCAAAATCCCAAGAGAAGAATGGAAGAGAGGAATTGTGATGTGGCCATTCCTCTTGGGGGATGATTTCTCACTTTCTTGCTCTTTGTCTCTGTCTCTCTAGCGAGCACGTATGCCCTATAGCAAAAATCTCTCTTAAGGGACCAGAGGGTGGCATGGTGGTTAAGGTGCTGGACACTCCCACATGGCCAACTGTGGTTCAAATACCGGACCTGGTGGCTTGCTTTCTCACTTTCCCTCCCTCTCTCTCTCTCTCTGCCTCTCTCTCTGGTCAAATTGAAGTAAATGAATGAATAAATAAAATTAAATAATTATTTTTAAAAATCTCTCTTAAAAAGGTAGTTAAGGTGCTAGATTCCTACATGATCAACTGCAGTTTGAGTCCTAGACCCAGCAGCTTGAAAGTCACAACAAATAGTGGGCGTAATGGCTTCGTTGCTGGACTCCCATGTAGTTGACTGCGGTTCAAGTCCCAGACCCGGCAGCTTAAGCTCATGCCAGGCACGTGTGCATGTGTGCCCAAGATCCCGAGAGAAGAATGGAAGAGAAGGGATTGTGGCGTGGCCATCCCCCGGGGGAGTGATTTCTGTCTGTCTCTCCTCCTCCTGTCTGTTTGGGAGCAACACCCACGTTATAGAAAAAAAAAAAAAAAAAAAAACTTCTCCAAAAAAAAAAGTCATAACAAATAAATAGATAAAAAAATGTTTTTTTAAGAATTATTTTATTTAACTTTATTTATTTATTTAATTTGTTGGCCAGAGAGGGACAGAGTGAGAGAGAAAGAGAAGGAAAGTGAGGAAACAAGCCACTAGGTCCAGGACTCGAACTGCAATCACCCATGTGGGAGTCCAGCACCTTTAACCACCACACCACCTACCAGCCTCAATAAATAACTGTTTTTTTAAAAATAAAGATTTTACTCTCTCAGCCTCCTCAGCCTCATCCTTGAGGAACCATTGGTAAAAGTGTTCTTCTCAGAGTCTTAGTTTAAATTTAATTGTCCTGTGACCTTGAGAAATGATTCAGCCTCTCTGAGCCTGGGCTCGCTCATCTGTGAAATGGTCCTGTCATCCGGCCTGACAGGACTGGGTCCTGTCAGATGTCAGCAGGCACTCGGGAAGAGGGTGCCTTCAAGGGCGACAGTGTGGTGGTGGTATGGAGGTGGCAGTCCACACAGGAGTGACCCTCTACTCTGTCTCTCTCCTGGCCCCAGGACGAAGCTGGTGCTGGAGAACCTAGAGGACGCCTGTGTGCTGACTGGGCCTGACGACTCGCTGTGGGACAAGCATGCATGCCCAGCCTATGTGGGCCCGGAAATCCTCAGCTCACGGGCATCCTACTCAGGCAAGGCAGCGGACGTCTGGAGCCTGGGCGTGGCCCTCTTCACCATGCTGGTCGGCCACTACCCCTTCCAGGACTCAGAGCCTGCCCTGCTCTTCGGCAAGATTCGCCGTGGGGCCTTCGCCCTGCCCGAGAGCCTGTCAGCTCCAGCCCGCTGCCTGGTCCGCTGCCTTCTTCGCCGGGAGCCAACCGAGCGGCTCACGGCCATAGGGATCCTGCTGCACCCCTGGCTGCGGGAAAACCCGACACCCTTAGCCCCAACCCGATCCCACCTCCGGGAGGCTGACCAGGTTGTCCCTGATGGGCCAGGGCTAGAGGAGGCCGAGGAAGAGGAGGGAGAACGAGAGATCGGTCTCTATGGCTAGGGCCACTCTACTAGACTCTCAGCTGCAACCAGGAGGTTGAGTCTGGGGTGTTGCCAGCTTCTCTCGTCTCTTTGGACCAAGTCATACCCAAAGTGCCTTCTAGGAGGAGAAAAGGAGGGTACCTGTGCAGCGTGGGTAATGTGCATGTCCATACTGCCTGGGCGCTGACCACGTGCTAAACTCTGCACTAGGTGCTGGGGCACAGCTGGGAGCACAGGGGGCAAGGCTCCCTGCACCCCGAGTCAACAAGCTGGTTCTTGAGCCACACCCCCAGGTCAGTGCCTTCCCTGGGCACACCATGCCCCTGCCCAGGCATGTCTGTCCATAGACAGTCCTCGCCACCAACAAGGCCGCTGCCCTGTGTCTCACACCTGTTTAGGGGCTGGGAAACACCTCTGTGCCAATGGCTCCAGGCCGATCCAACTCAGGACCCCAGAGCCCAGGCCACGCTGGGAAGCCTGCTCCCAGAGTTCTGCCTTCTTGAACAAGACATTCTCCTTCCAGGCCTGAGCCCAGGATTTGGGCCAGGAGAGCAAGAATCCAAACTCTGAGTTTGGTTCTTATCTCATTCAAGGATTGATATGAAATAAGGTTCCAGGCCTGTCCATCTCAGTGGCCCCTGACCTGAGCAACAAGGTTAGGGGAGGGAGTTAGGCAGGGTCAGTCTCGTGGCCACCCGGAAAGTCCCAGGCCCTATGTGGTGACACTTGGGGGCCAGGACCCCAGTTAAGTACTTTAGATTTTGGATACCATGAATATGTATTTTTACTTTGTACCTAATAAAGGAGAGTTATGAAATTCTTTCATTTATCTGAGAGATTTCTTTTATCCTCTTACCATCTCTTCCTAGTTTTCCTGCCTCCCCCTTTTATTTTGAGAGAGATTTTTTGCTACAGGGCACAAGAGACAGAGACAGAAAGACAGAAAGAGAAAAATCACTCCCCAGGGGGTGTGGTCACACCACAATCCCTTCTCCTCCATTCTCCTCTTGGGGTCTTGGGCACGCACACACACACACACACACACATCTAGTGTGAGTTTTAAGCTGCTGGGTCGCGAACTGGGGTGGACTAAGTGGGAGTCTAACGATGTAACCATTATGCCATCTGCTGGTCCCTTCCCTGCCTCATAAACCAGCCTGGTGGAGAAAGGCTGGCGGCCCAGGTCTCAGCTGTAGCTCCAGAGAGTGGTCTGTGAGAGCATATCAGCGTGCGTGCCCCAAATCCTGAAAAGAGGGAGAGATGGAGGAGGAGGGATTGTGGCATGACCATCTCCCTTGAGGAGGGCTTTCTCTCTTTCTCTCTCTCTGTCACTTTTTAGGAAGTACACATGCCCTCTGTCAAATTTCTTAAAAAAAAAAAAATATATGTGGGCCAACAGGTGAGGTGGTAGTTAAAGGGGCTGGACTCCCACATGGCCAACTGTGGTTCGAGTTCTGGACCTGGCGGCTTGCTTACTCACTTTCCTTCTCTCTCTCATTCTATACATCTATGTCAAATTAAAATAAATAAATATATAAAGTTAAATAAAATAATTCTTAAAAAAAAAAAAATGCCGGGCATGTGTGCGTGCATGCCCAAAATCTTGAGAGGAGAATGGTGGAGAAGGGACTGTGGTACCCTCTAGGGAGTGACTTCTCACTTTCTCTCTCTCTGTTTCTTTCTGGTGCGTGCATGAAAAACAAATAAAATAAAATAAAAATAAAACAAAGAAACAAACAAACAAAAAACTAAAAAGAAAAAGAATGGACCTGTGTTGCCCTAAGCCTCCAAAACCTTCAGAACAGGGTTTCTGAAATATCATCTGCAGGTCCCCTGCATCCAGCCCTGGGTGTTCCTTTACAGTTCACATTCTCGGCCCTGTCTCAGCCACAGTGAGCCAGCACTTAGGAATCTTGGGTGGCAACAACCTCCCTGGGTGATGTCTCTGGGCATCCAATTTGGTGAACCTCTATTTGCAGAATTCTGGCTCCCTGGCTCATTTCGTCTTCTCTCTGGACTAGTTTGATCTCAGCCCAGGAGTAAAACAGATATAATGCTACCCGTGATGCCAGGACGGGATCACAGGTGTGGAAGGGCTTCATCAGAGGTCAACATCTGGGCCATGTGGCTGGCAGTGGCACAGTGGTCAAACCTGATGCTCTGCAAGCCAGCCCCAGCCTCTCTCTGTCTTTCTGGTGAGCACATATGCCCTATAGCAAAAATCTCTCCAAAAAAGAAAAAAAAAATTAAAAATTTGCTGAAGAGAGACAGAGACAGAGAGAAAAAACAAAAAACAAAAAACTCCCATCTGCAATAATTTCAGGCTGCAATAATTTCTCCTCCATCTCTTCTTTTAGACTTTGGGCACCCACACACATGTGCCCAGCATTATCTTTCAAGACACCTCATCCAGGACTTGAACCATGGAGTCAGCTATGTGGGATCCAACACCATAACAACCACTCTACCTGCTGGCACCAGTGTGCCTGCCTTATTCATGGGGGTCTCTGGGATGAACCCAGAACTTTACCACATGAGTCCATCTCATGGAGATTACACTTGACTGATTGATTGATTGTTTGACTGATGGGAAGGTGCATGCACTTGCCAGAGAGAGACAGAGAGAAAGAGCACAGAAGGGAGGAGAGAGTCCCCCTCAATAGGGCGTGGGCGTACCACAGTCCCTCCTCCTTTACCTCTCCGTCCTGTCAGGGTTCTGCACAAGGATCCACATGCACCTAGCAAGCCACAGGGACTGGAATTCGACGCCACAGTTGGCCTTGTGGGACCCGACTCCCTTAACCGCTAGGGCCAGCCCATTTACCAGTGTTTTTTGTTTGTTTGTTTTGTATTTTAGTTTTCTGCTGTAGGTCATGTGCACTCACTGGGGGGTGGGGGGGAGAGTAAGTGAGAAATTACCCCCAGGGAATAGCCATTCCACCATCCCTTCTTCCCACTCTCCTCAGGATTTTGGACACGCACAGGCTCCTGTTGTGATTTTTCAGGCTGTGAGTTTGGGACTCAAACAGTGCTGTCTGCCATGTGTGATCCCACTGCCTTACTCCATACCATCGAGTTGGCCCTATCGATGTATTTTTGACTTATAATATTTTATACTGGGGCCAGCAGATGACACAGTAGTTACGTCCTAGACTCCCACATGGCCGCCCGTGGTTCGAGTCCTGGACTCAGTGGTTTGAAAATCACGCTGGGTTCGTGTGCGTGCCCAAGATCCTGGGAGGAGTATGGAGAAGGGATTGCAGCATGGCCAGCCCCTCTAGGGGGGGGATTCCTCATTTCTCTCAAACTCTCTCTGGCGAGCACACACATCCTGAGGCAAAAACCTCTCAAAAATTTTTATTTTTCGATTTAGGATGGGCTTATAGGGATATAATCCCACCATCAGTCAAGGAGTATCTGCAATTCCTTCCTACCCTGGATTGGGCTGACCAGTGTAACTAAAAGGAGATCATGAAAGTGATAAGAGCATGACTTTTTTTGAGAGAGAGATTTTTGCTATAGGTTGTATGCGCTTGCCAAAGAGACAGAAAGTGAAAAATCCCAGTCCCCCCCCAGGGGAGATGAACACACTATAGTCTCTTCTCCTCCATTCTCCTCTTGGGATCTTGGGCATGCACGCACACGTGCCCAGAGTGAGTTTTAAGGCACCTGGTCCAGGACCCAAATTGCGGTTGACTGGGTGAGAGCCCAGTGACCTAACCATTATGCCATCTGCTGGTCCCTGATAGATAGAGCAAGACTAGGCCAGGTCAGTCAGTGGCATGGTGGTTAAGGTGGCTGGATTCCACATGGTCAACTGTGTGGCTTGAGGAACAGGCTGGGCGTTTGTGTGTGCATGCCCAAAATGCTAAGAGGAAGGTGGAGGAGAAGGAATTGTGCGTGGCCATCCCCGCTAGGGGTGATTTCTCACTTTCCCTCTCTCTTTCTCTGTCTCTCTCTCTGGCCAGTGCATGTACCCTATAACAAAGAAAGAAAGACCAGGCCCTAAAATCTGTCACAGCTTCTGGGAAAACCAGCTGCCATGTCGTGAAAACACTCGGTGAGTTCCAGAGGAAGCCCGTGTGGGGGAGAACACAGGCCTCTTGCAGGGAATGGCATCCGTGGGCCTGCGTGTGCGCTTCCTTGACATGGGTGCTTTAGCCCAGCTCAAGGCTTCCGTGGCCGCAGTCCTGGTGGACACCTCAATACAACCTCATGAAAGACCTTGAGCCAAAATCGTCTGAGAAACTGCCCCCATGTCCTAACCCACAGAAATTTGTGTGATCGAACACTTTATTGTCTTAAGCTGCTAATTTTGGGATAATTTGTTATATATCAATAACTGATAACTTGTATAGCTCCTCTGAGGGAGGAACGGTCATGATCATCATTGTATAGAGGGAGAAACTGAGGCCTAGAGAGGGGGGTCTCTTATCTAGGCCACAAAGCTGGCTGTCAACACATGGCCCAGATGTTGACCTCTGACGAAGCCCTCTAACTCTCCAGGTTAAACAGTCTTCGCCTCAGAATCAGTCTTCGCTGTTTTGGTTTGATTTAAAATTTGCTGCAGAGAGACAGAGAGACAGAAAGCAAAATAAAACACCGCCCATGGGATGATCAGGCTGCAATAATTTCTCCTCCATTTCTTCTCTTAGACTTTGGGTACCCACACACGTGCCTGGAGTGTCTTTTTTTTTTTTTTTTTTAAAGAGGTTTTTGCTATAGGGCGTGTGCACTCGCCAGCCAGACAGAGAGAGACAGAGAGATAGAAAGTGAGAAATTACCCCCCAGGGGGGATGGCCACACCGCAATCCCTTCTCCTCCATTTTCCTCTCGGGATCTTGGGCACGCACGCACATGCACCCAGCGTGAGTTTAAGCCACCGGGTCCGGGACTCAAACCACAGTCGACTACGTGGGAGTCCAGCAACATAGCCATTACACTAAACTGCTGGTTCCATGGAGTGTCTTTCAAGACATCTCAACCAGGACTCAAACCACAGTCAGCTATGTGGGATCCAATACCATAACAACAACTCTACTTGTTGGGCTGAGACTTAGTCTTTCTTTTCATTTTTAAAAAAGAATTATTAATTTAATATATTATTATTTTTTAATTTGACCAGAGAGAGACAAAAGGAAAGTGAGAAAGCAAACCACTGGGTCCAGAACCTGAGCTGTGATTGGCCATATGGGAGGACAGTGCCTTATCCATCACGATCCTGTCACCCTAACTTAATCTTTTTAAAAAATAATTATTTTATTATTATTTAATTGAACTTTACTTATTTATTAAAAAAATTTTTTTGGAGAGGTTTTTGCTATAGGGCGCGTGCGCTCGCCAGACAGACAGAGAGAGACATAGAGACAGAAAGCGAGAAATCACCCCCCAGGGGGGATGGTCACGCCGCAATCCCTTCTCCTCCGTTCTCCTCTTGGGATCTTGGGCACGCACGCACACGCGCCCGGCGTGAGTTTTAAGCCACCGGGTCCGGGACATGAACCGCGGTTGACTACATGGGAGTCCAGCGACATAGCCATTAAGCTAACTGCTGGTTCCCACCTATTTATTTATTTAAATTTGACAGAGAGAGAGAAGAGGGGGAGTGAAAAAGCAAGTCGCCAGGTCCAGGACTCGAACCACAGTTGGCCATGTGGGAGCCCGGCGGCCTTAACCACCACATCACCTGCTGGCCCCATCTTAACTCAGTCTTTATTAAGAGATGTATTTCAGGGGACCAGCAGACTGTGTAATGCTCACATCACTGAACTCCCACGTAGTTGACTGTGGTTTGAGTCCTGGACCCTGCAGCTTAAAACTCAAGCCAGATGCGTGAGCATGCATGCCCAAGATCCCGGAGAAGGGACCGTAGTGTGGCAATCCCCCCACGTGGGTGATTTCTTACTTTCTGTCTCTCTGTCTCTATCTCCAGTGAGTGCATGCACCCGATAGCAAAAATTTTACCAAAAAAAAAAAAATGGATTTCAGAGAAAGAGGAAAGTCCAAGAGTCGTTCATTCATTTAATGTGTAATCCTTGATAAACTATTGTAGTGAGGACCTGTTCCAGACACTGAGAACTCAGTGGTGAGTCAGATAAAAACTCTGCCTTTGGGACCAGCAGATGGCGTAATGGCTCCATTGCTAGATTCCTACATAGTTGACCGTGGTTTGAGTCCCGGATCCGGTGGCTTAAACTCACTCTGGGCGCGTGTGCGTGCGTGTCCAAGATCCCGAGAGGAGAATGGAGGAGAAGGGATTGTGGCGTGACCATCCCCCCGGGGGGTGATTTCTCGCTTTCTCTCTGTTTTTCTGGTGAGCACATGCACCCCACACCACAGTCCCTTCTTCTCCATTCTCTTCTCAGGATTTTGGGCACACACACACACACACACACACAATTCTGTCCTCTAGAAGAGGAAAACAGACCAAAACCGAGATAAATAAATTATTGTCTAACACTCTGTTAGACAATAACATATGCTGAGGAAAGTAAAGGAGGCCAGGATATGAAATGCTAAATATGCGCGCATGCATGAAATCCCCGACAAGGTGGCCAGGGAAGACTTCTGAGGTAAAACCAAAAGAAGGGGAAGGAGGGAGCCATGCAGGTATTTGGGTCATGGGAGTGCACAGGCCCTGAGGTGGGAGTGTTTCTGACATATTCCAGAACCCAGAAGGGCCAGTGGGGCTGGAGTGGAGGGAGCCAAGGGAAGAATGGTCAAAGACAGGTTGGGGACGCATTGTGGAGGACTGGGTTTTACTTTTGCTGTGACGGGAATATTTGAGTAGGGGATGACACGGGTTTGATTTATATTTAGCAGGACTCTGGCAGCTGGGTTGAAATGAACTGTAAGGGGATAAAAGGAGAAACAAAGAGCTCGGTGAGGCAGATCCAGGCCCCCTGCAATGATGGCGAAGTGATGGAGGGGAGGGGTGGCAGATTCTGGCTCAATTCTGTAGTGGGAGAGTATAGGATCTTTCAACTATGGATGAGAGGTGGGAGAAAAATTAAAAGGGAGTAAGAGGCTGGAGGAAACAAGCAGCTTCCCACCTTTACCAGGAGAAAAGCAGACTGCACCAAGGCTCAATGAAAAGGTGGAGCGCAACTGCTGAGAGGCAGAGTCTGGCCTGTTTATAGGTCGGTTCCCAAGTGTGCCAGGCCTGGAGTCACAAGCCAGCAGCGTGGAATCGGACAGATCATAAGTACACAGAGGCTCCGTTTTTTTTTTTCTTTTTTTGAAATTATTATTCATACATTAAATCGCTATACATCACTTAGATTGTGAAGAGACTTTACCCAGCATGATATACACCTCAGTCCAGCCTAGTCGAGGCTCCGTTTTTGTTTTTTTTTTTGAGAGGTTTTCGCTATAGGGCGCGTGCGCTCACCAGACAGACAGAGACAGAGAGACAGAAAGCGAGAAATCACCCCCCCAGCGGGGATGGTCACGCCACAATCCCTTCTCCTCCATTCTCCTCTTGGGATCTTGGGCACGAATGCACACGCGCCCGGCGTGAGTTTTAAGCCACCGGGTCTGGGACGCGAACCACGGTCGACTACGTGGGAGTCCAGCGATATAGCCATTACGCTAACTACTGGTTCCCGAGGTTCCGTTTTTAACCTGCAAAAGTAGCCGAACACTCCGCCAGCTATCAGCTTGCTGGCTGTTAGCTTGTACCTGCGCGCGGCTATAGGGGCGGAGCGAGGTCTCCTAAGCCGCCCCGGCAGCGGAAGCCCGCTCAGTTTTGCCCCAGCCCTCCCGTCCAATGCAGTCGGTTCACAGCTCCCGGCTGCCCCTCTCCGCCCCGCCCTGGGCCCTCTCCGCCCCGCCCCGGGCCCTCTCCGCCCCGCCC